ATCTTTCTCGCTCGTTTACGCGCTCAGCGTGAGACTCGCGCGAGCTGCATCACCGTGCTACACGGCAATCTCGTCGCAGCTTTTGCCCCCCCCCCCCCTCTTTTTTTTTTATTAACTTTGTGCTGCTTTAAGGTTGTTAGAACTGTATACGGTAATCGCCGCTCGCTCGAACCGGGCAATCGGCGCGGTGAGATCGCGCATACAAGCGCGCGCGTGTCTCGTCGTCTCTTCGAGTTCTCGCGCCCGGGGAGTTATCTCAGTTCCCGCGTGGAATCGCGCGTCCCGAGATTTATTACGTCCGTCCGTCTCGGCCTCCTATCTTTTCCGCGTTCGATCGCTTCCACCGTGAAATTTTCTCTTTTCCCAGTTGCCCGCGTTAGCACTCGCTCTATCTCCATGCGAGGAAGCGCACATGTCGGCGCGCGCGCGCGCGCGCGACGGAGAATGGCTGTGTCGCGCGAACCCGTGGAAGGTGCGAGGAGCTCGTTAATTAATTAGGTATTTCGAACCGATAACGCGTCCACGCGTTTATACATATGCATCGCGACTTTATGAATTCTTTTCCGCGCGAGCAAGCGACGCACAGTCGGCCGTACGTTCTTCTGCTTCTCTCTCTCCTCACCTTTTTGGTAGCGTCGCGTCTCATTTTCGCTCGTCAGCGGCCGTCGCGTTCCTTTTTCCGCCGTACGCGTATGTGGACTAATTAATATGAACTGTATACGAGCCCATCTGCCCGCCGCCGTCGTCGTCGCCGCGCTGCCGCCGCAAGGTCCACCTATATGCGGGTACCGACCTGGCAGCGCGCGATATAACGATCTCATCAAGGCCGAATCACGGACTTCACCGTACTTCGTTGGAAGTGTTGAAACACCGGCGCGGCATATTACGCGCTTCGAAGATTTATGCGGTGCGGTCGAGGTCGGATTTAATTCCCTCAAAAATCGCCGCAATCAATTATAAGATGCTAATCGCACGGCCAGCCCTAACGAACTGCACCGCGGAACGAATCGAGCTGGCCCTTGCCGCGACTTTTTTCGCCCCACCCGACCTTGATATAATACGAGCTGCTTTGTAATCTCGAAATTATCCGTTTATATTAATAACGACAGTTATATGCGCGAGCGCGCGGCGTATACGTGCGAATTATAAAAGAACGTCGGCGACGCGTTGTTTTAACGCGTGGATGCGCGTGCAGTGGAATCGATTGGCGCGAAAGTGGGACAGCAGCGGGTGCACGCCTGCATTTACGTCATTGACAGCGTCCAATTAATTTTGTCGATTTAAAGAACGGAATAAATTTATCGAGAACCCCGGCAACAGTGCTCGCGCGCGCACGCGCGTTTNTCCCGTTCAGAAGTGGGCGAAGACGCTGGGGGGGGGGGGCGCTGACTAACATACAATTTCACCGTTCGTGAACCGCTTAACGCGGCAACGAATCAACATTGGGAATTTTAATAATCGATATCCTGCGATTGATCATTTTCCCCGACGTTAAGTGAAACCGGTGTTCCTCGCAAGGAATCCCAGCGGTTTGGAGAAATTCCCGGTTTATTGTCAAGTTCCGTACATGAATGCAAAGGCTCCGTCGACCGCTTCCCGCTTATCCGGAGCGAACGGGTGGTCTCGGATATTTAAGAAGCGTCCGATCCGGAGCGCAGCATCCGCGAGGCGCGAAGCCACGACGCACGCACTGCCGGAGCGCGCTCATTTACGCTCGTACGCGCGCATCGCGTATCTCGCGCATACATCAGGCATTCGTCGGTGCAGCATGCATCGCGCGTCACGGTGCAGTGCCGCTCGAGTGGAAGCCGGCGGAGGGAGGAAGAAGGAGGAGGAAGGAGCACAACGCGACGACCACGACCGAAGGAACGAACGAGTGAGCGAAGTGGGGGCACCCTTCGTCGCCGGGCGTTGCTTCCGACTGCGTCGTCCCTGTCGGCTTATAAATAACACCATCTCCCCCGTTTCTTCGTGCGTTTCTCAGTTTTTCTTGCGCCCTCCGCTTCTTCCTTCAGCAGGGCCTCCTCCGGGGCCGGTACCTCCCCTGCTCGAGATACTCGACCGCTCGCAGGCCTAATTAATAACACGTGATGAGCGATCGTGGCAAAACCTCCCGTGCCGAAAGATCTCGCGAGCTGAGAGAGGGAGAGAGAATGCGCGAGCGAGCGAGCAGACGAATGAGTGAGTGAGTGAGTGAGTGACGTGAGACGTAGTCCGGGCTAGACGAGGAGGAGAGCCTCGCCGGCGGTACTTGGAGATACAGACAAACGCGTTGTTGTGTTGAGAGCACGACGGTGTTGTGTGACGCCTAGATACCGCGAGAAAGAGAGATACAGGATAGTGCAGACATTGTGCGTACATCGCTTGAATTACAAGTCTCCCGCATAATTATTCGAGTCAAAGGGCCGCGGGAGAGTGTATCCTTCGCATTCAAATTGTCTACGCGTTTTTAATTCTACGTTCAGTGAGAAGACGGCGGCGAATGACGCCCACGTTCGGTTACCTCGTGTAGAAGAAAAAGGAAAAACAGATAGAAACATTTTTCATAATTTTCCACATATTTCTACCGCGACAAAGGACCCTACCGAGATGCGCCGCGACGGGGCTCGATTAACGCGTCGGGTATGCGCGAGAGTTCGCGCTGCGTCGTGGTAACTACGTCGTTATTGGTCGCGGGAGCAACAAAACCGTCGGATATAGAGAACACATTGTGTGTATGTCGAGGAGAAGGAGGGGGCGGAGGAGGAGAGACGCGAAACACGTCGTGGCGAATCGTCTCCTCGCACCATCTCGCGAAGGAGCACCCGGGTGTTCTGTGTTGTGTGTTCGTTACTGGACCGATACCATCTTCGCTTTTTCTCCCCCGTTCGCTCTCTCCCTCTCTTTCTCCTTCTCTCTTTCTCTCTCCTCGCCCCCGGTCTCGTTCTTGTTCCTCTTCTTATCTGCTCTGCCTTCCCCCTCCCCCTCTTCTTCTTCGCTGTCCGTTCGCCGACGAGGAGGGGCCCTGAAGTGTCGAAGACCCGATACATATTCCTCTTCGACGCCGACGGTTCCCTCCACAATGCGGACGATTGTTTCGTTCTAATGGCGATTTCGATTCTACGCCGCGCCGCTGTCTGCGCGGTGATTTCGGCACCGGACGCGGCCGGGTCGACTTTCGACCGATGGGGAGGGCAGGGGGTACTTGTGCTATTTGGACATATTGAACGACATCTCGTAACATATCGCTGCGTGCCGAAACTGTTTTCGATATCGGTCGTTACGCGTTGTTTGTCGTCGTGTTTCACCCTCGATATTAGCCAGGCGTAGTCGAGCACTCGCGCCTACGTTAAATTCGCGCCCGCCGCGATGTATATTTGCATATTCCCGGTATTATTCTCGATCTTTATATCTTGCGTGTATCCCCGGCACTCCGTCCACCCACGCGGGGAGGGGGGGGTATGTATATACGGTTCCATTTAATTACTGATTTTACGACGGATCGTGCCGAGAGCGGCCTCGCGTCGCTCCTCGCGCGCGACGTGGTCTTCGATTTTATTCCGCTCGGAATGTAAATGCGTTCCATCCAGCGTCCGCGGGCGCGCATATACGGTTCACCGAAATACACCTCGTCGAGGTGATATCTCGTTCGCTTGTCGCTCCGGCGGGTTACAAGCCCGGGCGCGTTATACCTGCCTCTCGGCTCGGAGCTGAGCGTATCCTGCCGTGGCGAAAGGACCATGACGACGATGAGGCGGGAGGTAGGCGCAGTGGGCGCAGCCAGCGGTCTTCCGAGAGAGGAGTCCACTATCTCAGGGAGCACTCATCGCGGTCGCTTCGTTATCGGCCGCGCGGAATCATAATGGACCATAATTGCATAAATATAATGTTAATTAACAATTAAGATTGCCGCTTTGCCTAATTGAATCGCCGCTTTTGCCGCTCCCGTGGGGAGGGAGGGGGGACAACGTCGCCGCAACGTACGACCTCCTCGCGGTGAGATTGCGACGAGGGGCCTCGGGTGGCCTTAAACGTTAATGGCGGTATCGGAAAATTATACCGATGGCCCAAACGAGGACGACGACGACGACGCGCCTTCGATACCGAGCGCGGAGACGCATCTCGAAAAACAACTATCGGCGCCCCACAACGTGGCGCCCGGCAGCAGCGAGTGGTGCAGCCACTCGCTTATCGAGTCGACGAAAGCCTTATCGCAGTCGAAACGCTGAAGCGTTTCTCTCTCTCTCTCTCCCTCTCTCTTTCTCTCTTTTTCTATCTGAGAGTTTATTTTTAACGTTCGTACGACCGTTGCACGTGTTCACGCGATCGAACGCGCGTCACAGTAAATTTTCCCCCACGGAAGAAGGAACAAATGCTGCTTACGTTCTCCGTGATTTTTCGTTTCTCTCTCTCTCTCTCTCTCTGTCTCTCGCGATCGATCCGAAGTAGACGATGGACGAAGACAACGACGATGACAACGACTAACGCGTTCTTTCTCTATGCGTTTCCTCCACGTCTCTCTTCGTGGTCGTTCACCCGCGATATCGAGTCGTCGTTGTCGTGGTTGTCGTCGTCGTGGTTGTGTGCACCGCGCGATCGAGTTCAGATACGCAATTAGCGGAATTTAGCAGATGCAATAATAATGAATTCCCGTTAATAACCGTCGCGCCGCTCCATCGCCGCTCGTTCGCCGACGATATTTACCGGAAAGGATAAATGGAAGCGCGCGAACAGCGCAATAAAAAGGCCGAATCCGCGGATAACCGGCAGCCCGTGACCGTCGACGATCTGTTGCCGAGCCGCGCCGTTGTCGACGACGCCAGCAGCGGCGCGTGGTTAAATCATGTCCGCTTCATGTTCCTTCCATCCCTTTTCCCCCCCCTGCGTCCGATCCCGCCCTTCCTTCCTTCGCCACCTCCTTCGCCTGTCCGGTCCGAACCAGCTTCTACCGTCCGATGCCTTTTTTTCTGCCTCCGCCGTCCGTCGAATGTATTTTATTCAATTCTTTTTTCTCGTTTCAGATGGTTCAGGCGATTCAGGTCCTCCGGTTTCACCTCCTCGAGCTCGAAAAGGTGAGTATCCCTCGCTTCCACGTTACGATGCTCATAATGTTACCGCCGGCCCACCGATGAGATCCGCCTATTTACGAAATCCCCGTTGCCCAGGCTTTTTCACTTGTTCCGTCTGTTGCGATACCGCGAAAATATTTGCACCTCTGTCCCATATTTTTACCGCTACCACGGTAAACTTCTCTCTTTTTTTCTTCTCGTATCTGGCGAGGTCGCGATTTCCACTCTTACCAGTCCGCCGGAGGGACGTGCCTTTCGTGTTCGCCTGAAAATTGAAGATAGCACGCGGAAGCGTTGCGCGACTCGTGCGCGCGCTCTCGCGTGCTTCTAACTTTTCTTTCCGCCTAAAAACCGCGAGGGAAAGGCCGTCACGTGAAAATCGCTGTGTGACGCAAGATCGCCGGTTTTCTACACGCTGGCGTATACACGGTCGGCTGGAAATTCTCGCGATCGGCCTCATTGTAAGAGATTACCGCTGCGCGCGCTGCCGATAAGTCGCCGTTAACACCTAAAAAACGACTGTTATGACTGCGGGGGCAATTTTCCGTAATTGCGGTGAAAGCTCGGCCACTGCTCGACATCTACGGCGCTCGCTCGCACACTCTCATCGGTACCTACGGACGCGGACCGATTCTAAGACGTAAGTGGAGTCATTTCGCTGTCCAACGGCTGGCGCGCGTTAACTCGCGAGCGAGTTGTTTGCTCTGTAGCGGCGGTCTCGTTTCTCCTCGTGTCCCCCTCCCTCCCCCTTTTTCCGTCCGTTGAGGAGTACCTCCCTTTCTTTCCGATCGGCGGAGCGAAATGACAATACGCTCCCGATACTCCACCGGCGGGCACAACCAGCCAGCAAGCAAGCAAACAAGCAAGCCGGTCAGCCAGCCAGCGCGGCGTGGAATTACGGTCGCGCGGTGAAAGTGAGACATCTGTCGAGGGAAATTCCGAGACTGTCCAGGCTTTTCATCGGCGCGAACGAGAGAGCGAGAGAGCGAGAGAGAGAGAGAGAGAGAGAGAAACGAAAGGAGTTGCTCCGTCCGTCGCGAAGTCCTTCGTTCTTCGCTCGTTGCCACGGAGAGCTTCTCGGAAACGCGCGTCTTTTTCCTCGCGTTGCATGCCTCGCCGGGAGAGGATGGATAATAGCGTTCTCTCGGTGCAACGTGCAAGGATTTTTTGACCGGCGCTCTCTTTCTCTCTCTCTCTACTCTCTTTCTCTTTCCCTTCCGTCTTTCTCTATCCACCCGAATGGCTGCGCCCGCGGGACATGGAGGCGGGTCTGGTTTACCCAGGCGCTTTTTGCGGCGATATTTTATCATACAAAATAGCGGACATCCATCGCATTTCCATCGAAATGGCAGCTGACGTTGGCGGCAGCCAGCCATTGGCCGCGCGCGCGTTCTCGAGACCTCTTCGCGATCCCTCGCCGCCGATCGCCCGGCTCGATCGCGCAATTTTATAGCAATTTTCCTCATTTACGGCGATTACATTATTATAATGCCGCGTCATCACCCGCGGCGAATTCAGCTATCCGGCACCATCGGGGATCGGTCGTGCGTTTTCGATGCACCGCGATCATCATCATCGTCGACGGCGGCGGCGAGTATTACAATTCGTCCGGCGATTCGCGCCTCCTACCCTCGACGGAAAATTGGCTCCGGCTCCTCGTCCTGACGCGTCGTGACGCAAATGAAGTATGTCTGTCTGTAAAATAGAATCGAACGGAATATAAATTTTCCGCGGTGATTCTGCGCGAACATGCGAACGCTCGCCGAGGTGGTACGATCCAAACCGGCGGCGGCGGCGGGCGAGAGAAAGATAGTGCGAGAGGGGGGGGGGAGGGAGACATTAAGGCCGGCGAATAAATCACCGAAACGCGATTCCGCACTCTCGCGTCGGCTTATCTGTGTCGAAGCAAATGAATTCGCTAATTGGTGCTCGCTCGAAGGTACCAGCGACGCTTCATTTTATCGCGATAGCGCTTATTACTCGTTACTTACTCGTGCCTCTAAATTCACCCGCGTTAATGGAAGCGCCCACGATTAAAGAAATTAGCGGACTCGCGCACGAACGCGCTGCGGCAGATAAAGCGCGGCCGTGGTGTGTATCTTTCGTCGATATGCCGGTGAAATATCCCTATACTACTCTCGATGTGTGTAAATCGGGAAGCGTCGCGAGTGTCGAATCTCTCTGTCCCGTAGTGTCCGGGGACGAGAAACGCGGCTTGGCACGCCATCGACGGTAACGGAGATTGAAACGTTTCTGGTCCCCGGGGCCTCTTCTAGACGAGACGAAACGAGACGCGAGCGAGTGAGCGAAGCGGAATGCAGCGCGCGCGCGATGAAGAAGATTCCATAAATATCTGTGCTCACATAGTGGAGGAGAGAAGTAAGGAGGAAGGCAGCAAGAGAGAGAGAACGATAGAGCGTAGCGTAGAGAATGGGAGAGAAGGGGGACCAATGGAGGGAGGCTCATGGTAGCCCGCGGTGCTGCGCCTCGTGCATTTAACATTTTCGAACCAATCGCGTATTAGCATAATTACGTTTTGCCGGGGCCCGGTGCGCGGAAGGAAGGTCCGGTCAGGCCCTTTTCCCTTCTCTTTCTCCCTCCCTCATCCCCCCCCCTCTCTCTCTCTTTATTTCTCTCTCTCTCTCTCTATTTCTCTCTCTCTCTCTCTTTTTCTCTCTCTCTCTCTCTCTCTATCTATCTGTCTTCCTCTCTGCCCTCGCGGTAGAATATTTTTCTGGCGGCGGTGTAGCAACTCTCTCTATCTCTCCGCTATCGTTCCACTCTCGCTACTCTTCTCTACTTTCCTCTGTTCTTCCATCGTCCTTCTCAGCGCGCAGGACTTCGGGCAGCCGCCTCGCGCGTACACCGGTTAGAGAGCGGTAAATTTCTTATGGGATATTATGGCGTACACAGTGCATACCAACGGGATTCGTACTGGTACAACACGCGGGCGACCTCCCTCCGCTGGACGCGCCGCAGGAAACTGGTTCTAAACCTATGCCAGCGCACGTCGCTCTCTCCCGTTGGAATATCCTCGTATTCCTGTGCGCAGCACACGTACGTGCCGAGCTCTCTCGCGCGCGATCTTGCCGCGAGACGTCGGAAGCAGACGTGGTGCCGCTGAAATTAAGTCTTAACTGGTCGGCCCGGTGAAATGCGCGCTACACGGGATGCCGCTTTAAACATTAGCGGGATCTTCGCATATCCTGCGAGGAAGAGAGTAACACGAGTAAGGATCTTCTTTGACTCGTGCGGAGAAAGAATGGCCGTATTTCCAGCGTCAAGCGGAACATCTGAGCTTTCACACTAACGGACTGAAATCTGATACGGTCACTCCGCGAGTTCATTCGATGAATTTCGATTAAATCGCGCCCGGAAAGTTACGAATCAATATGACCGCGCGTGATCATTCGGAGCGTGTTTCTCATCTAGCAGTCGACTCGTCATTGTCGATACCACCGTGGCAACGAGGAGGGCATCGTCCAAGTTACGAAGAGGAAGAAAGCGGGGGGTCTCGTTCGCCACGTACACCCGGTATACAGATATCCCGTGCGTGCCGTAAGGGTGGTCAAGTTGCGAATCAGGCCGTGAGAGAGGGAGACCGAGACAGACACCCCGAAACCTTCATTACCTTCGGCTTCAAAAGAGCCCATTGTGCCGTAAATGGGGTTCCTTGCGTTCCTCCTTTTCTACTCTTTCGCTCGTACGTACCACGGATCCGTTCCATTCTTCGGCGTTTGCCTTTCCGAGAGTCCGTGAAGAGACGAGGAAGAGGGCGGAAGAGGCGGATACAGTAGCACGAGGACAGCGAGACGGAGGCGAGAGACAGAGAGAGAGAGAGGGGGGGGGGGGAGAACGCGTTTACACTCGTTCTTTCCTTCGTTTACGTAAATTTTCGAGCAATTTCGAGGCCGGATGAAAAGGAGGTCCTCGAGTTCGTATAATGTCGCGCCGCGTGGGATTCCCCCCCCCCCTCTTTTCTCCTCCCTCCATGATAACAGGAATCGTCGGGAGAAAGGGGAGAGAATCGTTTAAATGTTCTCTTTGAATCGAGGAACTGGTTTCGGGGTTGTCGGTCCTTCCTCTTGAGACTACGTGTAAACGCACGGGGAATAATCGAGAGCGACGTTACGGATAAAGAGTTACTTGTAAAATTCTCCCGACCGCGACCTTACGTACTCTACGTATGTAGTTGGTGGTGCACGTTGCGATACTTTGAAACAATCATTAGATCAGCGAGCTGGATTCTGACTCAGATGTCAAACTGTTCTCTCTCGCTCTCTCATTCTCTTTTTCTCTCCTTCTTCCTCACTTTGGCTCTCTCCACCTTCTCCGCCTCTTGCGTTGCGTTTGGCATGAGGAGATGTTCTCGAAGGCGACTGTGGCGAATGGAATTCGACGGAGCGACCCGGCGATTTCTCTCTCGCGCATTAAGTCGACCGTGTACGGAGAGGTATTCCCGAGCACATTCGAACTGTTAAATCGTCCATAAAACGGGGATAATCTCACGTTACAGCGACATCGCGTCGCGACATTGCGAGATGAATTTATCCACGACGTTCTTACCGTGACGACGTTTCTCACCGATGACACGCCGTCGTCATGCCGAAAACGACACCCGCGTCGAGATTCCATCGACGCGATTCTCGCGCACGGATTGTACACGGGTACCCGGTGGCAATAATCGTCTTTTTCCATCTCTCTCCCTTCCCTCCTTACTCGCTGATAATTCGAATGGCGCGCGATCCAGCCCCGGAAGAAGAAGTCGCTCATCGATTCCGAGTAGTTCTCGTTTCCGTCCTCGCACGAGGGCATCGATGGGAATCGCATTACCGCGAGCGTTTAGAGCTCCCGATCGCGGTGTCCTCCCTGAAAGTTTAATCCGATCGATGCCAACCCTCGATTGGAAATTGAATCGTAATTTAACTTGCGCTGAAACTTTAAATAGCGATATTCGGATCCCGGCAACTATTTTCGCACCGCGTCCAATTACGAACGTAGTCCGAAATTTGTCTCGCTCGCCTCGGCCCGCAGATAACGGGCCACTTTGTCGTATCGCGCGCCACGAGATATCCTTGGTCGACATACTGTCTCTTGCGAGAGAGAGAGAGAGAGAGAGAGAGAGAGAGAGGGGGGGAAGAAGATCGGACCTAACCGCGCGTCGTCTTTTTGCTCCGTCAACGACCGCCGAAAGTGCTCATGGAAAAGGGAGACGATCGAGAACGTCCCATCGTATCGCCGGGGACGACCTCCCTGTTGTATCCTGTATCGCTCTCCCTACGAGATCATCGTCTACGGTGTAGGATGACGCGATTCAATGGTAGGATAGATTGCAAAAACTCGCGTGTTCCGAAGCGATCGTATCGTGTTCGATATCGCAGTTGGAGTATCCATCCAGTCATCGATCCCACCAAGCAACGCTTCCTCCGATAATTTCGTGGCATAGCTGCGACGTTGGTTTACTGAATTAACATTGTTCGCGAATTAATACACTTTTCCCCGATTCGATGTTATTTTACCACTCGGTGAGAACACCTCCGCTCTACAACCGAATATCCATGATTAATTGCCGTTTACTCTCAAGTCGATTATTTGCGCGAAATGCGACAAGATCGAGAGAATATTTCACAGTTCCGCAATATAGTCGACGATTCAAGACGAAGAACCGATTTGACGCCCTTACGCTCCCTGTACGAAGGGGGGCAACGAGGGCTTTTTTTGATTTCTTTTCATCGCTGAGCATTGTCGCTCGGTTCGACTCGACTCCCGGCGGATCAAATTCTAACCAGTCCGGCATTATAGCCGCTGTCCTTCGGAGTCCTTCGTCTCCTCCCACCGCCCTTAGGTCTCTGCATTAAAGAGAGATGAAGAGAGAGAGAGAGAGAGAGTCTAGTCATCCTGAGCGGGGGCATTGTGTTACCGCGTCGCGGTGGTACGCATTGTCGGGGCGAATAGCAGGATGGGTGGAAAAAAGTCGGTACCCCGATGGAAGAAGCGCAGGATCGAAGTTGCCGCCGCATTATCACTCTCTCTCTCTCTCTCTCTCTCTCGCGCGCGCGACGAGGCCCCCTCATTTCTGAAAGAAGGTAAACGAGCGCGACGAATGTTCGCCGATAGACGCGAAATATATCGTCGTCTTACGGTGACTCGGCAAGAAATCCATAACGATCTCATTGATCGCTCCTAATAATATCGTCATTGAGTTACCTCCCGTGAACCGAGCGACCCACCTCCGATGATCTCGCGACTCGCTCCGATATGCAAAGCGTCCGTTCAAATAGCACTCTATTCAGACGCCGCGTATTACTGTAACTGTCATATCGTGTCGATTACCGCGAACTGCACGGAACGATTCCGTTGTACACTTCTTACGCATTTGTACGCATGTTACCACTATGATTTTACACACTTATGTATGTAAAATCACAATAGTAACACATGTAAAAAGAAAAATGTGACTACATGACTTTACGCGCATAAGTGTGCACAATTGCATACTTAGAATTGCATTGTAGGAACAGAAAGATTCCCGTGGAAGGTTTCTGCTCAGTCAATTGTTCTCGGTTGTCTCAGCAGAGTTTTAATGCAGCTGAACGTTCACACAGACGTTCTCAGTCGCGATAAACAGAGATATCGTTTCTTGTAATCGACTTTTCAACTGATCCTTGTTCCGTTGCGAGAACTGAGATTTTTTTCCCTACGTGAATGCCGTTAGATCAGTCTTCGCGAACGATGCGCGATCGGCAGTGAGTGAGTCGCGCTCTCTCTCTCACCGGGTGCTTCTTCTGCCTCTTCGATCGGTCGAAGGAAACTCGATCGCGCGGCTCTTCTCGCGTACGTGGCTCTCTACGATAAACAGGCGCATTGTCCGTGCGTTCCCCGATGCACGCCAACTATTGGACGGTGCCGCCTACGGCAAAGATGGCCGTCTTCTCTATTATACATAAATGCCTAATAAGAGCGTTATAAGTGACCGCTAGGCCGATAGAGGCGGTCGAGGTAATGCGCGCGAGGTTGCCCCGGGAACGAAGGACGATGAGAAAGAGGGTGGGTGGGGGTGGGTGGTACGTTCGCGAAGGAGACCGCTACGCGGCTTCTTCATAATGCCTCGTCTCGGCTCGCCGACGATTTACATATAACAAGATAACGATTTTTATTTGCTCCTGCTTATATAATACGTTTATTCTAAACGGAATCAAGAAGGCGAATCAAGAGGCAGGAGGACGGTAGGACGAAGGTACAGGGCTGAGGGAGGATGAGTCGAAAGGGAGACGGAGGACGACCGGCTATCCTATAGGCCTGTCAGGCCTCATTTGCATACATAACATTCTGGTCGACTGGACACCGGTCAGACCTCCTCTCTTTCTCTCGCTCGTTCCTTCTCTCGTCTCTTTCTGCCCGTCGCGTCGGTTTCTCTTCAGCTACCAGACCGCTTCCACGGTCTCGGGATGCGCACACCAGCCTCCTTCATCTTCGTGTATCGATACGCCGCGTTTGGTCTCTCCCTCTCTCGCTTTCTTCTTCTTTCCTCCTCTCTCCGTGCCTTATACCATGGTGCAACGACGTCGGTTGTGGATCCATTCGATGGAATCCGTCTATTAATCATTTCCGGCGGCGCGGTTAATCAGCCTCCACCCGGTTGGAAGGTATCTTTTGGAAAACGGTATCTATGTTCCCCCAACCGGCGGAGCCTGCTTCTCCCCCTAGTCTAATTGGTTCTCTTCGAGGCTCACGAGTGGCCGGCTAACTAACGTTCCTTCTCTCTTCTCCGTGTTCCAGGTACACGAGCTCTGCGACAACTTCTGCCACCGGTACATCAGCTGTCTGAAGGGCAAGATGCCGATAGACCTGGTGATCGACGATCGGGAGAGCTCGAAGCCGCCCGAGATGGGTAACGGTCTGGACGGCAGCGGACCCAGGAGCACCGCCGACAGCACCAGCCACACGGACGGAGCCAGCACGCCGGACGTCGTGAGTACCTCACCATCGTCATCGTCTTACTATCCGCACGACGCGCTCACCCCCCACCACCACCACCATCACCATCACCACCACCACCACCACCAGAATAATAACAACAATAATAATAATCACGCCGGGATCGGCAGTACCGCCGCTACCACCCCCCTGCAACTGAGCCAAAACCAAAGCCAAAATCACCACCCTGCGCCGCAGTCGAACACCACCACTACTACTGCTATTACCCCAAGTAGCGCCGCCACAACTCCCAACTCCCTAAAGCGTACGCACCAACAGATGATGATGGCAGCCGCGGCGGCATCCGCGATGGCCACCTCGCCGCACGCAGCCGCATCCGCGCCCCCAGCGCACGCGCACGCCCTCGCCGCCTACCACAGCATCAGCTCGGCCGTTTATCCGTGCTCGTAATAGATTACCGCGCGACTTCCGTGCCGATTCTGCGAGACCACTTCTGACTCTCTTGTCCTCCCCCCGCCGCTTATCCCGTAATTCTACCTCTTTATTATTCTTTGTGCCGTCGTGTTACGCTGTCTTCTTCGGTCGGCTCGGGTCAACCAAGCGGGGTGTAGGGGACTTCCTCGAGACGTCGCGAAATCGGCAACGATCCGTCAGCTGCGATCGTTCCGTCGCGACTGACAACCTCGAGCGAATCATGTCGAACGCGCACGGCGCCCTCTGACTCGAGGTCACGAACGCGTGGGAGTCTGAACGCAACACCAGTCCAGGTCGCGAATGGGCCTGTGATCTCCTTCTCTCTCTCTCTTTTTCCCTGCAGGCAGACGCAGCTGGCACACCTGCCCGCGCATCAGCTGCTCTGATCGAGACGCGAGCACGTGTGGGCAGCGACTTCTGGAACTCTCTCCGTTAGCGTTCGCGAGTAACGTTCCGCGGGAGGTGCGAGAGAAGAAGGAGGGTTCCTTCGAGATCGGTTTCGCGGGGGTAGGTCGCAGAATCCACCGCTCGGGGACTCGCGGTTTGTTGGACTGGCGCTACTTGTTGGCACTCTTAGTATGTTTCCGTCAAGTGTCTCGTACTGCTCCGCGAGCGGCGAGGGACGGGCGCCGATCTCTCCCTCAGCTCGGCACTCGGCCGTTGGCTTTGACTTCGTTCATTCCGTTCTCCTTTTTTCTCTCTCTCTCTCTCTCTAGTACTTTTTCTCGCTCACAGAGTCACGAGCCGCGTTCCCGAGAGAAAAAAAGAGCGCACGCGGGGCGTATCTGTCTAACTGCAACTTTTCACGTTCACAAGCTCAAGTTATTCTTTATTGCACATTCAAGTGTTTTATCTCCGAGCGTGAATTTCTCTCCGTTGACGTCGCGCGGAGGAGACGATCGGACGCACAGAGCTTCGCTCGGCGTCGCCGGGAATCCCATAGTCTTCCGCTCGTCCATCGTCGCGCGGTGCATCGCCCATAGAGAGAACTTCGCGTGTCTCTCGCGAAACTCGCGTTTCCAAGTCCGCGCGCGTTAACTTGCTCGCGCCAATCTTCGTTCGACCGTGGCGTATGTCCGACGTGGACTCTCAATTACGTAAGCCGTCCCCGTCACGTGGCGCGGAAGATTGTTTCTAAATCCGTTTCGAGAGAGAGAGAGAGAGAGGACAGCAGCGGGGTTCGTCCGTTGACATCGGCCCTCGGGAACGTTTCGCTTTGAAAACGTATTCAGAGATATTCACGCTCCGAAACCGCCTCGGAAACCAGTCGTAATGGGCTATTATCGGTGCGAGAGCGCCGAACGGCCGCTCGCGGGCGGCTGGCTCTCCGCGCGCGCAGCCTTATGCAACCGATCCTCCGCGTTTTGCTCTTCGTGCGGTCGGGACGTTTGGTTCTCTCTCTCTCTCTCTCTACCCATCTGCGGGCCCGGCAGTTATCGGAAATAACGAGATACGCGGTTCGCGCATCGGTAAACCGCTCCGAGGAGCGAGGCGTTCGTTCTATCTCGCGCGCGGGCACGCCTCGCTCCTTTTCTATCTTTCTTTCTCATTCTCTTCTCTCAACCTTCCCTCCTGTGACTCCCTCAAGGTCTCTCGCGGCACGGCATGACGTACGAGACGTACGAGATATTTGTATAAAAGAGCGGGCATTAGGGGAGGAGGGCGCGTACGCTTCTTCTTACGCGAGACTTAGTTGTCGTCGGCACGAGGTTAAGTAGGTCGTCCAGCGAACTAGCTAGACCGCGACTAGGGTAGTTAGTGACAGAGATATGAAGCAAGTCGAACCGGCCACTCCAGTCGGCAGTGGTTCTGCGAGCGTTTCCCGGATCGAACACGGCGATCGTTTCGGAGCAACAAGAGAGGATGCGGGGAGGGAAGAACAACACACACACACACACACACACACGGGTGTACGCGACGATGTAATACGCGGAACGTGAACCGTGGCGTACACACGCACACATCAGGTGTGTATATCGACAGGTAGGAGAGACGGGGGCCGGTTAACTGAATTTTATCGCGACGTCGGGAGGGCGGGCAAGGTAGCGCGCGCCCTTGTCCCGTTTTTCTCCTTTCTTCACGTTTTTTTCTCCCCCTCCCCTTGAATTTTTTTTCTTTCTCGTTCATTTTATCAACAACCGCCGCTACTGACCGCGATTTATACGCCGGAGTATCGCGGAATATACGCAGAAAGGGGAGCACGAGAGCACGCGTGAGCGCGCCTGGTAGCCTGAAACGGCCTCGATGCAGCCGCGCGCGTTGTGGACGATGATCGATATTATCGGCGCGCGCGGTAGGCGTGTTTACGACAGGCATTATATCGTCTACGCGGCGTCTACTTTCCAGGTAGCCTCTTTCGTGGGCGTACGCGCGCGGGGTGACGCGTCTTTCTCGATCGAGACACCACGCGAGTAATAGTAGGTAGACAGCGGCAGAAACAGTAACAACAGCGGCGGTAGCGAGGGCGAAGTTAATCGAGAGCCGTCGCTCGAGGGACTAGCGTTTAGATTCGCCGAGCAAACGCGCGCGCGAGAGAGATTATAACCGTGATCTGAATATACGTAATAGGATTAAGGCTCATACGCGTGACAGAGCGAAGTTTGTGTCTATTTTTTCGTAGAAAACCTTCGGGACGTCGAGGAGTAAGGAACACATGCGATAGATAGATAGGCAGTACGTCGTGCGAGAACAATGCGAGGATAGCTAGGCGAACAGCGAGACGAGGTTACGTTTTGGAAAGCTTGTAGCATTAGCGAGGTAAATTATAGCGTTTAACTTATTGTTAGCTTAGCGCGGTTACCGGGAGTCGACGACGTAGAACTACGAGAGAGAGAGAGAGAGAGGGTGAAGACGCGAGGAGAAGAGAGAGGGATTCGAAGCGAAAACGAGCGATCGCGTAGACAGAGAGCGTAGGTTGATATTACTCTTCGATCGAGCGAGATCGCGTGGCGGGTGTGCGGGATCGAGAGCTGTGCGTGATTAGGTGATAGCGGGCGAGCTTCGGTAAATTCGCGCACTCGAGATCGGGCTGCGAGGAATGCGACGAACCCGAGAGATATAGAGAGCAAAGATGCAGAGCGGAAGATAAAATCGCGGCGATCCAGTTAATCAATTGCCACTAGGTCTCGGTACTCGTAACTAGGGAGTTGTGTGAGGTACAAGTCCTGATCGGCAGGGCGCGCGAGGTCCACCCCCAATCCCCCGTACTTAACAACCCTTGTATATATCTTCTTGTGCAAAGCAAGCAAGATAAATGTAACAAATTCGAGATCGAAGGGAGAAAGATCCTCCGACTCGAGAGGATCGCCGAGAGCGAAGTGTCGAGCTCTCCCTGAGCTCTGGTGCCCCGCGCGATCGTCCGGGATATCCTTCATCCGGATATCGACGTGGTCTCTCGCGGCCATGCGCGCGCTTGTGTACGCGCGCGCGTCGCTCGAAGAGGAACTGGATACGATATACGTGCATGCATATGCAGAGACACACACGTTCACATATATACACACATATACGCGCGATGCGATCGTTCTGTCAAACGGAGACATCGCGTGTACACTCGTGGGTATGTCCACAAGCGGAGTCTCTCACATGAGAGTACACACGTGTGCCTTGCTCTCGCACGCGTCTCCGCGAGGGAAGCGAACTCAAGGCTGCATCCTTGATGCTGCACGACAGGTACGTAATACGAAAATACGAATGCAGGGCACCAGACCGGGGGGCGGTGAGCGAACTTCGCTCTCCGTGTCGCCGGCAACGCGACGGCGATCTGCCGTCGCGACACGCGGCGACACTTGGCGGATATTTTGCGAGAACGCAAGGGTGTTGTACGGAGGTTGGGAGGGGTGGGCTTCGGCACCGGTCGATCGGAACCCTAGTTACGAGTGCCGAACCTAGGGCCGAGAGGCCCCACGAGCCTCTCGGCTTCCGTTAACTGTTGAACGTAAAGAAAGAGAATGACGGTCATGGAAGAAAGAAGAATGACCGAGGAGGCGAAGCGAAATGGAAATTGGGAGGAACGCGAGGATCCATCCATCGAAGCGTGTTTCGTTCTGTTTTTGCACCACGACGATCTTCAGGATGTTGTTTGGCGAGAATCGATTATTTTTGCGCGGGCGTTTGTTCACGTTCTGCAAAATAATTTCGAATTTTCGGCATGATAGAATTTTTGAGCATTCGCGAAACGTGTTCTTTTCTCGCTTTCGAAGGCTGAACGGCTTCGGAATCGCGAAAGCGAAGTGTGTAAATTTTTGTACGACCAAATGCTCAAGAAATATAATTCGTTGGAAAGTACCCTTTCTTTTTTTACCACTGTTCTTTCTTCGTTTTGTTCCCAGCACCGCGCTCAAATGATCGATTCGCGTCGGATAATTGTGTCGTTCGTTTTTCGGGCCGCACCGTGGAGGGTCTTCGAGCGTTACGAAACGAAAATCTCGTGCGCGTTCGCACGAGACGCGCACAAGATGCGGAGAGAGATCGACTCTCGCGATGGCGTGAGATTTACAAATTAAAGGACGCAGAAAATAACGTGAATACTTAGTGCCATAGGTTGCAGCGTGCGCGCATTCGCGTCGAGACTGTGTACTTAATTAAATACTAATCGCGAGGAAGATCGGCTTACGTTACTCTCGGGCGAGGAGACGGTGCATCCGATCATTCTTTTAGTGCTCAAGCTTAGAGACCGTTACCAGATAATCAAAAGAGAGAGCGAGATGTACGTTGTTCTTGATCTTTGTTCTGTTCGGACTTAGGTTTTTTACCGCTTATCTTCGTTTTTCTTCGCGTGTCTCGTCTGAAGGGGGAAGGAGGGAGTCGCGTGAGCTGCGAGAATCGAGAGTGTGATTTTTGTCGCGTTTCAAATTTTATAACATCGCGCGTTTACGTTTTCTTTAATGTCGTTTTTATGCGTTCCGCGCGCGCGCGCGACGACCCGACGATTTATTATCGTCGATGCCGACGCGAGACTGCGATCCACACGATGCGGAGCACGGAGGGAAGAAAGAGGACAGATTAGCTTTTGTCGAAATTGCGTAATTAGGATTGAACGGTCGCGCATGCTGCCCTCTTTTTTTCGGTCTCGCCGACGTATAACGCCGCGGACACGCGCGTTTGTTGACGATGACACCGCCGCCGTGTTACGTTTTTGTTTCGTATTGTTTCTGTAATTGTTAGAATGTTTATACGGAATGTGTGCACGCGGCGTGCACACACACACACACACACACACACCAGACAGACGGAGACGGTGTGAAAGATACAAAACACAGACGACAAGACACGGAATAGGTAAGAGCTTCGAATTTATGTTACAACTTTTTCAACTACCGTACTTAACACATACACAGAAATACACACACACATAACGCGCGCGAACAGAAACGACGCGAACGACGAAAGCCGACAACTGCTGTGTTTAACATTAGCACGTGCATTTAACGCGCGGAAGAGACAGACTTCCGGAGAACAGACATTGTGCATGTATGTGTGTTTTACGATTTACAACTTACTAGACTTAAGGGAATGAAACGAAGATGAAAAACTCACCCGATCATTGTATACGATTAGCCATTATATATAAATATATAAATATATATATATATAGTGATAATATATTATCGATAATGATACTTGTTTATAGCATTGTCTCAATCAACGTATTTTCATTATAAATAAATGTTAGCATTGTTGAGTTAAAACAAAGACACTCTGCGTTCTTTTTTTTTCACTCGAGCGTTTCACGCCAGCTCTCTCACGATCTCTCGTGGTTCGTCGAACCAAGAAGCTCCTTGATCCCGCTGTAGTCGCACACCCCCGCGCCTCTCCGAGCGCGTAATCGCGGTGGATGGACGCGGATCCGCGCGACGGATGAACGTTTGGCCGCGTCAACGAGCCGGGGAAAGATTCGAGCGGGTATTTTTCAAGCGCGCGACACGACGACATTCATCAAGATCGGACTGATACCGAGTCGTGGGCGAGCTTTTCTCCGCGTAAGAAAATTTCATCCGCGGCCATCAGCGAATTTCGCCGAGCGTATCTCGAAGCGTTTACAAGCCACGGCGAATCCTCCGGCATTCGCGGGCGGCGAGGCCGTCTTTTCTTTTTTCCGCGCGAGGAGTTCGCTCCCAACAAGTGCAAGTTGCCGACACCGGTATGAGGACTCCTCGGTTTCAGACTCTAGGAATTAAGTAAGGACGCGCGAGCGAGTGCGCCCACGGATAATAATTCATTATCGCGGTTATATCCGCGCGGTATACAACGCTCGGTCTCTAATCGCGCAATTCCCAGCGGTGTGCGCGCGCTCGCCGAACGACGTCGGCGAGGGAGAGCGAAAAGAGAGCGGCGCGCGTGCGCGACGCTTCCATAAATCTCGGTTAACCCTCGGCTAATAAATATTTAACCCTTTAAATTTGCAACAACCCTCCCGGGCGTGTAGCCATTTGCATAAGGCTTCTATTTCATTTACACATCGCATAATTGAATATTTAAATTCAATTGCTGGCCGTTACGCGCTCGCAGTTCCGAGCCGCAAAACTGCAGTAAAACTTGTAACGGGGCCACTTTCCCACCCCGAGGAAACCCACCCCCATGCGCCGGCACATCTCCTCTCACGGGCGTGCTCGTCGTCGTCGCCGGCCGCGATCAACCCTTGGAAAGTGCTTCAAGAATATTTCGCTCGAGCCCCCTCCGTCCCCCCTGCAATCGTCCCCTTGGGGAACGCGTCGGCGACACATTCTCCGGGAAACGGTGTCCGTATACGAGCGCGGGATTGTGTCGCTTATTCCGCCGTAAACCCGTGCACCCTCCGCCAGGTCCGTCGCCGCCTCATTCTCCTGCTGGAGTCGCGCGAGAATGCGCGTGCGCTCACTAGAAGTCATCATCGTTCGCGTAAGCGTTACAGGAGACATTTATTCGCCTCGTCTTCTCCCCGAGGGCCGCCGACGCCGTTATTAGCGGTTGCGTCAACGGTATTCCTATTTTTAGCGGTAGTATCCGCCTAAAGGCGGACTGGCCGCGTTAAGCTCCGGCGTTATTGAGAGTCGATACACGAACGGCCGATTAGGAAGCAATCGCGAATAGTGTCGAGTGCCGGGGCGGCTCGGGTGTAACGGAATAAACGCGTATCGTCGCGTTAAGACGCTAAACGGGAGGGTTTCACGGAGAGGCGGTATCGGCGTTGTCGTGAACGACGGGACGACGGTCCAGAAATAAAGTCGCTCCCTCGCTCGCACGAAATCGCCCCAGGATCGACGCCCGGCGTCGCGTATCGTTCGCGTTCCCGATGGCCAAATTAAAACCGCCGGCTGCTCTTTTTCTCGCTCTTCCCTCCCTCTCGCCCCTCGTTTCTCCGGCGTCCTCTATTCTTCCTCGTATTTTTTTCTCTCCTCTCCTCTCGCGACGGCAAATATTTTTAGAAGCGATTCGCCGGACGAAGCGTATACGCGCCACGTGTCGGAGATCCTCATGGTGAATGTCCTCCGCTTCCTCCACCACCGCCACCTTCTCCTCCTTCTTCTTCTCCTCCTCCTCCTGATGTCCCTCTCACGGTGACGATCTCTACATACTCGGGACGGCATCTGGCGTCGAAGCACGTATGGCCGTTAGCACTTTCACGAAAGGGATTACCATTGTCACGTTATTCATGCTAACGATGATCGGTCGAGATCGGCCGCGACGATAATCGTCGTGTCACTAAAATCGAGGAGGCGGTCATTGTGAGCGACATACTGACAGCATAATAAATTATCCTCTCTCTTCTCTCCCCCCGCCTCCTGGCCCCGCGACTTCTACTCCACGGTCCTCGGAATGGATACGTGTGTGCGTGCTTGCGCGCGCGTCGTAATGCGATATACGTTGCTTTCGGGCCCGCCGATGATCCCGACGACAGCCAGCGCGGAAATCGCGCTCCGATTTAAGCGCGTAAAACGGTAACGTACTCCGACTTGGCGTTGCAGACGTTAAAGCGACGTTAAAATAAAAGAGTCAACGGATGCGCGTAGTCGAGAGGGAAAGGTAACTCTAGATGCCAATCGATGAGACAATGGTCTCCCCCACGGGGAATCTGGGACACTCTGCACAGCCGCACGAGGATCGAGTCGAAGTGTCCACTCTTGGCTAAATATCCTCGCGGCGCAATTGCGGAGGCACTCGGGAGGGATCGTTGCGATTAGTTAGACGAAGCGGTATCGTCGTCGGCAGGAAGACCTTACGAGTAACCGCATTGCATAAATTCACCGAGCCGAAGCAGGCTTCGCTCTCGCATGGCGTGCAAGGGCGAGGAGGACTCTTCGCGTTCACATCGATCGCGTCTAATTAGCTCGACGCTATTACCATAAAGCTCGCGCTCGTCCGGCGACGACGGTAGCCGCTCCTCGTGTTCCACTTCGCGATAATTCGCGGCCGCTTGATCCTCGCGAGATACTCTCTCGTCGGAAGTCGCGAACTTCGCTGAGTCGTTCGGCAAATGGCGCTTCCCGCGATATCAGCAAACACACGCACGCGTCGAGCACATGCGTGGGGTGCGTGTGTCCCCGCACAGCAACGTTACCGGCGAGAGCGGTTCCCACACCCACGACCCGCGACGGAGGTGGTGCGTTTCTCAAGGTGCACGCACACACATACGCATGCACGCACTCCTCGGTACGTCGCGCGCGAGTAATGTGATAAGTGTAACGACTCGGCCGACCAATTGCAGCGCGCGGTACTCTTCGCCTCAGAACCGCCCATTTATGTGTGCACAAATGCGGCCACCGTCTTCATCGTCGTCATCGTCAACCTTCCCGTCGAGTCTCGCGCGAGACGCGACGTCGGCCGTGCGTTCGCTCACGCGTCTGTGTGCATAGCGCAGGCGGGGGAGGACGGGCGGTCGGTCGACCATCGGCGTTGCGTTTGTCGCTAGGTGTGCTCGTTGTAATCTCGCGGAAAAGTACCAGCCGTGGTGAGCGCACCCCGGCGGGACGGTTTAAGCGCGCGCGATCGGCTGCTGCGTGTATCCGCGGGAATAAAGCGCTTTCCTGTCGCGCTATGTTAATGCGTAATCTCTTCGTGGAATATGTTTTTATAACCTGTGAATATATCGCTGTCGTAATTAATGGCGGGGTATACCGAGGGAGCGATAGCGCACCGCACGTTCGATCTTCGAAATCCAGATTCTACCATATACAGCACAGATTAGAACCCAAAGTTATCACAAAATAGGTTGTCCTTTTATCCTACCAATTGGCATTCTTATCCAAAATGTGGGGGGAAGCCTCTCTTCCACGTTTCCGATTGGCGGCCCTGCAGCCTGCTTCATCACCAGAGTCGAGTGACAGTTGGATTGAATATCAGATTAGGATAATTTAATAAATCGAGTTATATTTTCAATCTTACTGTGCCTAATCGCACGTGCCTAGTACATGCATACCTGTCAAGTATAAATATTGGAAATTTTTCGTCATTATTTTGTTCAATTTGTAGTGCAAAATGGAAAGTAGAAAAATCCTTGGGAAAACGTTGGGGCGGCAAATAGGATTTGTTTATATTCTCCGGTTTAATGTCATATATTTGAAACATTTATTATATATTTACTCAGAACCTGCGTGGATTTTCCAACTGGACACATCACATTAGGAAATCGGGCTGGATTCCCAATTAGATCCCGGGAAATATTCTACGCGGGATATCGCCGATTGATCAACCCGAATCAACATTCCGAGTTTTCGCGGGCTCCGGCGCGCGATCGCGAGAATTAACATTCATCCGTATCGACGCTCTTCTTTTTGGAGAGATCCTTAATAACCATCGCGCGAGCACCCCGATATAATTATCCCGCGACCAGCCACGTCAGCTGTGTAGTTGTGTATTTTCATAATGTAATATCGTTGCGGCTCTGCGAAGGGGGCGGACTCTCTTCTTTGGGGTGAGCGAGCGGGCGTCAAGAGGGTGGGCCGGGAGCGTTTCCGAAGCGCGGGCAGGAAGACAGCAGGGGGAGAGAAAGTGCGTGGAGGGTGTTTTGCTGGTAATTGGTGCCAATTTAATCCTGCCCTTCGCCCGACGTAGCCCCGTATTAACGCTAAGGGAGGAACGCCATCGAAGGGAGGGTGGCTCGCCCTTCCCACGTCGCCGTTGCCACCGGTTTGCGCCCCCCTTCTTCGTCATCTACGAAAACACGCGTGCACACCCACACCGCGACGCCTCTAAGCGCGCGCACGCACGCGGCACGTGTATCTCTGTGTGAAAGCCCGGGGGAAAGAGAGAGGGGGAGAATATGAGTGAGGGATGAGTGTGTTGTGCGGACGCGCGCAAAAGCGAGGCTCGTGAGAGCCCACCAGGAAAATATAATTAACGGTAATCGCTCGCGTATATGGCTCGGATTAACTCCGCTGGGTTAGGCAGGGGTGGCGCGAGGGGATGAAACCCCACGTCAAATTCTTCGGCGTTATCGGATCGAATGAGTTTTCCTGCAGGATTTGCGGGACGCGTTCTCCTACCAAACGCGATTTCCAAGCGGACGTGGAGGAGGGAGGCGCGCGTCGGCGAGACTGCCCGTCCGGAAAATCCGGCAGGACAGCGGCGGAAAAATCGCCACGCGCTTATCGGCGGCGCTCGATGCGCGAGAGGAGAGATAAAATTCGAGACTGGCGGAGAGGAAGGAAGGGAGGAGAGGGAGGATGTGAGAGAGAAAAGGGA